AAAATTTATAAAAATTGTTAAGGTAAGTTTCACTTCTTCGGTAAAATATAAAAAAACTTTATAATATACAGGTAGGTAAAAAAGCTGTAAGTTCGGCCGGGCCGAACTTTGAATACCCTCCACCATTTGGAACGAATTTGGCAATTCTCAAAAAAAACCGTTAAAAATTCTGTTAAAAACGTAAAAATTCTGAATATAGCTATTACATTAGGGTCTAAACGACGACATGAACCTGCATAGGTAACAAATGCGAAACTTAAAAAAATCGGTGAATAATGTCGCTTAAATCATCAAAATACCGAATATCAGGAGATACCGTTATATGGCGGCTATACGAAGACCTGGACCTGCATAGACAATTTTCTGTCATAGGCTCTAGCATCCATTACGAACTTCAAATGCCAAATTTAAAACAATTCCGATGAATATTGTCGCTAAAATCGTCAAAATACCGAATATCGGGAGGTACAGTTATATGGGGGCAATACGAAGACGTAGACCTGCACAGACAATTTTTTGTCATAGGCTGTAGTATCTATTACGAACTTCTAATACCAAATTTGAAACAATTCCGGTAAATAATGTCTCTAAAATCATCAAAATACCGAATATAAGGAGGTACCGTTATATGGGGGCTATACGAAGACGTGGACCTACGTGGCCCATTTCCTGTCTTATGCTGTAGTATCCATTTCGAACTTCAAATACCAAATTTGAAACAATTCCGGTGAATAATAGCGCTTAAATCATCAAAATACCGTATATCGGGAGGTACCGTTGTATGGGGGCTATACAAAGACGTGGACTTGCACAGACAATTTTCTGTCTTAGGCTGTAGTATCCATTTCGAACTTCAAATACCAAATTTGATGAATATTGTCGCTAGAATCATCAAAATACCGGATATCGGGAGGCCCATGGCGCATTATCAATACCTAAAGTCCTGCAGACATAATTTACATTTGAGTAAAATTTTATCAATCTACTTAAATTCGTTCGGAAGCTAGAGTGATTTCCACAGACGAACGGACATTGCTAAATCGACATAGAATTTTATGCTGATCAAGAATAAATATACTCTTTGGGGTCTATAATGTATATTTCGAGGTATTACATACTATGGTGGAGGGTATAAAAACTGCAACTTCTGATAGATTTTATGGAATTGATTTTTTAAGGATCAGCTGGTGAATTTTAAAATATCAAAATGATTCTCAAAATATCGACATAACTGGCAGTGGCTATTGTCAAACTAAAGTCATAAATGTATGCATTTTCAACCTGCTATGTTCCAAAACCTGCTGAAATGTAACAATTTTACTACGATATTCCATACTTCCTTTATGATATCGAAAAACTTTTTAAAATAGTTGATTCTACGAAAGGAACCCCAACTCCTGATAGATTTTATGGAATTGAATTTTTTAATTAATATATGCATTACTGGCAGTGGCTAAAGTCATAAATGTATGTTTACATACGGTCTGTTCCAAAACCTGCAAGAATCTAAACATCTTACTACGGATAGCCCATTATTTCTTTATGATATCGAAAAACTTATAACTTCTTGGAACAGAGCAATACTGAAAATTATTTCAAAATCGGCATAAATTTAGGCAAAAAAAAATAATGATAATAATATAGATTAAATTACTTTAAAGAATGACGTTTTGATTCATTTTATAATGTATATTTTAAAAATTTGTATTACTGTTTAATTTTTTTTTTTCATTATTTCTTTCAATATTACCTTTTTTTAGTTTGATTTGTTTTGGTTAAAGTTCTCTTGTGCACAGTTTTATTTTGTAAAACGTTTTTTTTATATAATTTCTATGTGTGGATTGATTCTATAGTTTCAGGTCAATATTGATATATGCATTAGTTAGTTAAAGAGAAAGAGAGAGAGTGGGTGTAGATTGAAACGTTACATTTTTCTTTTCTTTGATGAAAGCTTTTCAGTTTTGTTTTTTATTTCACAAATATTTTCTTCCTGTTTTCTTGTTATTTATGTTTTGTTGACAATAGAACTTTGTGTGTGAAAAGAAATCAAAATTAAGAAAAGAGAAATAAATAAAAGAGGGAAATAACGAAAAATGAAATATATCGAAAATAAAAATAGAATCCTGTATTGAAGACCAGTGGTTTATGTAAGGGTTTTGATTAGAAACAAATATCAAATAGAAGTTATTTATATTCATTGAATATATAGATGACGCAATGCTCTTACCGCTCATGGAAAATTTTGAATCGGTAGGAGAAAATATTGAAGTCACTCAAATTTAAAAAGTCAAAAATATCAAAAACAGTAAGATATTTTTCAGTTGGAACCTATTCCATAACAAAAAATTAGTCAAATCAATCAAGTCCAATCGCTAAAAAACGAAGAAATGTGTTTTCGAGGTCGAGTAGGCCGACGGGCTGAATCAGTATATAGACTATGCAAAAATGTGCTGAAAACAAACATTCCTTTCTCTATACATTCCTTTCTCTATACATTCTGTAGTCTATGACTTTTGTAGTAATATGCTATCTCATTATCCTTATATTAAGGATTTTTCCTCGATACAATTAGGGTTCAAGTCTTGAAATTGCAACTAAAAGAAAGAGCGATTGAGAAGAGGAAGGGCAAATTAAAAATTCCACATGAATTCGAAGTTCAATAACTTGCATTAATCAGAGATTTTTTCTACGCCCTTGGGAGCTCATAACAAGGTGATTCTATAAATTTTTTAAAACAGATTTAAAGTCAATTTTTTACACTTTTTTGGCTTTTTGTTCTGTGATTTCGATCACAATAATGAACACATTTTGACATTGGGTAATTAGCTGAGTTTAAATTGGACCATGTTTAAGATGAACGTAATAGACAGAGTGCTCTTTGAGTGGAGAAGCTTTCAAACCGGGCAGTAATTTTGCCACAATGACAAAACCTGAACCAAATTTTGAATTAGAATTCAGATTCAATTTCTTGAAATTTTAACTAAAAGAATCATTGAGAAGAGGTAGGACCAATTAAAAGTTCCTCATGAATTCGAAGTTCAATTATTTGCAATAATCTGAGTCTTTTTTATACGACCTTAGGAGCCTAGGACCATGACGCAATAATTAGGCGATCCTGTAAAATTTTCAAAACATATTTAATGTCAAAATTTGTTTGCACTTTTTTGACATTTAATTGGGAAGAGACAGTTGTCCACAATGACAAAACACAAACCAAAATAAAAAAAAACACTTGTAAATTCATCTCCAATTGATCTGCCCATGCAGACTAGAATTTTTACACAGAAAATGGCATAAAACATGGAAAACTAAACAATTTTATAAATTTTGTTAAACCGGAAAATTACTTTAAGAAATTTTTTTCTCAAAAATTTTAAAGAATTTATATGAAAATAAATGAATATCACTAAAGTATTAAATCAAATTAAATTCAATCTTATATATTCTTTTTGAATTAAATTAAAATCGATGATTCTGACTTTAAGGTCGCACATTTAAAGATTGCATTTTTTATTTGAAATTTTGTTGAAATGTTGCTTCAAGACAAAGGGTCGTTTCTCTCGATTACACAGGTATTTATCTTTAACTAATATCTTCCATATACTCTCCTATATAGGCATTTTCAAACTTATTTGAGATGACAAATTTATCAGAAATAATTTTCACTTTTTTTAAATAGAATCGGCTGCATAAAAATTCGGACTATAAATTATATTTTTCAACGTTTTTTGTTCGAATTTGTCCGAAACGATTTTAATTTATGTCCATAAAAAAATCTTTTGAGTCATACTTTCTAGACAGCCATAAAAAGAGGGAGTCAATTGAAAAGTAATTACAAATGCAAGGACCAATTCTTGCATACGATAACGAAAACATTAATTTTAGTGCCTTGAAATTAATTTTAGTGCCTTTTTATGTATGAGAATACGAAAGTGAATTCGGAAAGAAAAAAAAAACAATTCCAGGGCCTCAATTCTTGTTCTATGAAAATGTGAAATGAAAACTTTTATAAAAGTAATATAATGTCAAATGAAAAATTTTATAAAGGAAATATTTTTCATTTCATCCAGCCCCAAGAATATTATTTTTAATTAAATAAAAATTCAAAGTTGAAAAAAATACACAAGGAATAGGTTGTTGTCTGTCGAGTCCACTTTCGAATCTTCATAAAAAATAGGTAGTTCATATATAATTCCAATTTTAAATGAATTAAAATATTCGTCCGAAAGATCTTAATTTCAAATAATGAAAATGAAAAATTTTGATACAAACAACTAAGGGTTAGTTGTTTGTACCAAAATTTCCATTTTTGTTAATCTGTGATTGGGCATATACAAATTCATTTCGATCAAAATGTTATCGATATCGAATTCAAGAACTTGGCCCTTGAATTTTCGTTAAAATTTTTTCGATACAAATCATAGCATATTTGGGAGCATTACACGCAAATGTTGATGAACGTTTGTTAAGAAGGATATGGGTTAATCCCAATATAAAAATTGGCTGGTAATGAAAACACAATCAAAGATATCCTAACAGATAAATATATCAAAAAAATTCACATCCGTTTATGAAAGCGTGAGGATAGTTTTTTTCATATTTTACTAAAAGGTAGTGATAAATTTTACACTATTCCAGTCCTTTTCGAATTGAAAACTGCAAAATATATATTTTGCAAGGAAACTTTTTAAACTCAACAAAAATACACTTCTGATATTATTTGTTAAACCACTGTTTGTTAAATCCATATATGTCGGTTGTTAGAGAGGAGCCAAATTATAATGCTTTACACAAAAGAAACAATGGATACTACAAAAATTGCAATTATATTAAGAGAGGAGGAAGATGGTCACACCGATTTCGGTCATGAAAATTAAGCATATTTTCTTTGCATTTTTTTTTTTTTTTTTTTTTTTTTTGGAAAACACCAAAAATTAAATTATTTTAGAAAAAGAAAAAAAAAAACAATTTTAAAAATATACAACTTAATCGCGTAAAAATTATTATTATTTATAGTTCTATTTTTTATGTTTACATCATAGACATGTAAAATAATATTTATATTTATTTATATATTTAAAAAATAAACAAAGTCTATTAATATTGTTTTTCTTTTTCGTGGTACAAACTATTTCTTTGTAATTAATTAAAATAAAAATAATTATAATAATAATAAAAAAAGAATAACTGCAAAACTAAAAAAAGAATACATTATATGGTTGAATGATAATGATAAAATAAAACGGAAAATTGTTGAGTTCTGATTTTTTTTTCTGGCTTTACTCAAATTATAATTTTCATCCGGTTATAGTAGTTTTGTTGTTGATTTTTTTTCTTTCTTTTATATTTAATTTGTATATGTATTTATATTTTTTGTCGCATTTAGCAAATTAGTAGTTAATGTTTGTTTTTTTTTTTTACTTTAGATAGACTGTGTGGTGTGTGGTGGTTGGTGACTTAAGCATATAGTGTACATTCAATATAACTTGTGGGCACAAAACCTTCATCCCAGCCGTTTGTGTTGTTAATGCGACGCACACGCGTCCACCCATCACCCTGATCAATTTCAATCACTTGTAGTTCTTCGCCCTCATTCATGGGTATGCTACCCTCACTTGTGGCTATAGGAGAAATCGCAAATGATTATTAAAAAATTAAAAATATAACAACAACAACTTTACCTTCGAAGGGATATAAAGCTCGACACGTTCCCAGCGGCTGTAGGGGTTCCATTTCTGTTTCATAATAGGCATCCTCACCAATTGCATTTTCATGGGTACTACCATGACCGGATCCCGGTAACGAGGTGTGTGATGTACCCAATCCACTTTCAGGACTTGCCGAACTGCTAAATTTCATCATGCAAAGAAACAGAATGTGTAGGGAAATCGTTGAAGTATTTTCATGTTTTTTTTTTTTATTTGATTAAAGACAAATATGTATTTAAAGAATGTGGAATTAGTATTTATGTGTACTGGTGTTTCGAGTAATTTGTTAAAAATTATATGTAAAGTATTTTTGCTAATCTATTCTTCGAATGTAAACAAAAATTTTTAATTCGTACAATTCTATTTGAAATTGGGGGGGACTGGAATTTTCTTCTCTTCATTATTTCCACTGGGAGAAATTGTGGTTTTTTAAAGAAGTGTATGAAAGTTTTAGGAAGCTAATCGGCCAACTCATGATAGTTCGTCGAGATAAATTCCTTGAAAATGATGCTCATAAGGACACTGATTTGTCACTTAATTACTTTAATTAAAAGACAAATAAATGTCTTAAAAACAGGCTAAAAGTTTGTCATGAAATATTGCCTCAATTAGGACTTAAAAATGTGGCCAAAGAACCTAAAACTTTTTTGAAGATCTACAAACCGATTGCTATCAAATCCCCTTGGAACTCTCCTCAACCCAGACTGGCTATTGGACAGTGAAATATAAGAAAAAAAATGCAGGGAATTTGAAAAGTAAATCAAAATTAATAACATTTTTTAATGATCCATATTCATTATACAGGGTGAGATGAAAAATCTGCAACAAACTTCAGACTGCTGTCATTTCCAAGCCACTCGTCCGACAGCTGTTAAAATTATTCCACTGACAGCTCATTATAATGTTTACAAGCGTACAAAAGCATTTAGGTGAGAATTTCGTGATGGAATTCAAGCGTGATAGTGTGAATTCTTTATATTTGCGGGAAAACCACGATTGGCTGTCGTTAAAGCACTCCAGCATTTAAATGTGAATAAATCTTTTGTGTTTCGTACCATCGCTCGTTACCGTGATACTGGTAGCGTAGCCCGACATCAAGGAAGTGGACGGAAGAAAACAGCAATATGAGCAGAAATGGTTCGAAAAATAAAGAAGCGACATGATCGAAACCCGCGTCGCAGTGGCCGAAAAATGGTTCGTGAGGTGAACATAACGCAATATTCCATTCGGCAAATATTGAAAAATAAGCTCGGGGTAGAGCCATTGCAAGAACTTACACCGCAACAGATAGAAAATAGACTCAAAAGAGCTAAAGAGTTGTTTCGCTTGACCGAAAGTGGTGAACTGCCGAATTTGGTTTTCTCCGATGAGAAAACATTCGTTGTCCAGCAGATTGTAAACAAACAAAATGATCGTGTTTACTTGCCAAAGAGGTCAGCTGAAAATATGTACCTTCGGTTGGCCACCAGAACTCTAGCGCCGACCATGGTGATGGTGTGGGCCGCAATAACAGTCGTTCTCCGCCCTTAGTAATCGACCGCGGCATCAGAATAAAATTTCCAACATTCTTTTGCTTCCTTTCAATAAAATCGAAAAAATAAAAATTATGATGTCTGACTTTGTTGCAGTTTTTTTGTCTCACCCTGTAGTTATCTACTCGAATTGTGACTAGAATCGACAACTCGAAAGAAAACAATTATTTTTCAGGCAAATGGGTTACAGTAAAAATATTTACTCGAAATCAGTCAGTTTGAGTTGTTAAGTGGTTTTAAACAACGAAATTATTGAAATAATTTAAAAAAAAATTGCAAAATCACAATTTCATCTATTGTGAGAAATCTTTTTGTCTATATTGATATTTGATTCTCATTTTTGTATTAGTGCTCTAAAAATACTTTTTTTTTTAATTAGTATAATTCCGAAAGATGTACGTGAAGACAGTCTAAAGAAACCAATGCGTTTAATGAAACCCAATATAACACGACTTAGAGTGACTGTTTTCATTTTGGATCGCCTTCGAAAGGCGGTATTAATATCTCACTTTTGACAAAATCGAAAAAAGGTGGGAACCAAAAATGGCAAGATTGTGGAAACTCAAAACCCGTGAGCGAAAATATAGTGAATTGATGGAATATATTCCCCCAAAATTTAATCCCAATTTGTAAAATAAAAAAAATATATTGTATAATCAACTACTACCCGAATTTCAAATAGAATGATAATTCATGAACGATAAACTGATTAAATTCATTTCGATAAGTTCTAAATAATACTCTGTTCCAGGACCTGCAAGAATTTAAGAATGTTACCACAATAACCGATTTGGCGAATCTTGTACATTCTTGCAGTTTATGGAACAGACTATAAATTTAGCATTTGAAATAAATGAAAAAAAAAATAGCTATATACGAAACAGAAATGATGAAAATGAAGTAGTGACAACAAATGAAAAAGGACAACACTACGAAATGTTTAAAATGTGGTTGTTTGTTTTTTTTTTTTTTTTTTTTTTGCAATCAAAGAGACTTATGAGTGTACCCGTTATTGTTATTATTATGGCCATTTTGAATTTGCGCCACATTATCCTCAGAATCTGACCTGCTTAAACTACCAGCATCGTCTGGATGGAAATCGCCATCGAAATTGTTGTCCTCGGTGCTACCGTTGGAATGCCTGGAAAAAAGAAAAGCACATTATTAAATTCAGTTTTTAATAAAATTTCACAGGAATAAGCAAGTGGAATAATAAGAGTTGCTATTTATATTTTGAGAAATTATGGAACCTCAGTGAAGGCAATGAAAAAGTAATAAAGAAAAACATGAAGGAAGGGATTAAAATCTGACAACTAATGGGAAGCCCATTGCCTCGGCAGTCATTGGTAGTCGGTATTAAAAAATATCGTCTAGAATTAATCTATAATCTACAAGATTTTAATACAAAAGGTTTTTATCCATTTGAAACTGAAACGGTTTCAGGATTTGTACGAGATGTAAGCTACGGATGACATTGAATTAAAATGTGGATGTATTTTCATGAGTTGAAAAGCACGAATGTAGCTTCATAGAAGGTTTCATTAGAAAGTGGCGTTCACCAAAATAGGTGGTGCAAAGGCTTGCTTGGACCTGCACGGACAATTCTGTCTGTGGAAATCACTCTAGCTTCCGAACGAAATTAATGTTGATAAAATTGTACTTAAATGTATATTATGTCTGCAGGACTTTTAGTATCGTATATTGTCAATGCAGGTCCACCTCTTCGTATACCCCTCATATAACTGTACTTCCCGATATTCGGTATTTTTATGATTTTAGCGACATTATTCACCGGAATTTTTTCAAATTTGAAATTTGAAGTTCGTAATGGATACTACAGCCTATGACAGAAAATTGTCTGTACAGGTCCACGTCTTCGTATTTGAAGTTCGTAATGGATACTACAGCCTAAGAAAGAAAATTGTATTTGCAGGTTCACGTCTTCGTATAGCCCCCATATAATGGTACCATCCTATTTTCGGTATTTTGGCGATTTAAGCGCGATTATTCACCGGAATTGTTTCAAATTTGGTATTGGAAGTTCGTAATGGATACTACAGCCTAAGGCGGAAAATTGTTTGTGCAGGTTCACGTCTTCGTATAGCCCCCATATAATGGTACCATCCTATTTTCGGTATTTTGGCGATTTAAGCGCCATTATTCACCGAAATTGTATCAAATTTGGTATTTGAAGTTCGTAATGGATACTACGGCCTAAAATAGAATATTGTCTGTGCAGGTCCACGTCTTCGTATAGCCCCCATATAAAGGTACCTCCCAATATTCGGTATTTTGATGATTTTAGCCACATTATTCACCGCAATTTTTTCAAATTTGGTATTTGAAGTTCGCAATGGATACTACAGCCTATAACAGAAAATTGTCTGTGCAGGTCCACGTCTTCGTATAGCCCCCATATAATGGCACCTCCCGATATTCGGTATTTTGATGATTTTAGCCACATTATTAACCGAAATTGTTTCAAATTTGGTATTTGAAGTTCGCAATGGATACAACAGCCTATGACAGAAAATTGTCTGTGCAGGTCAACGTCTTCGTATAGCCCCCATATAATGGCACCTCTCGATAATCGGTATTTTAATGATTTTAGCGACATTATTCAACGGAATTGTTCGAAATTTGGTATTTGAAGTTAGCCTAATAAAGAAATTTTTTTTGTGCTGGTCCACTTCTTTGTATAGCCCCCATATGACGGTACCTCTCGATATTCGGTATTTTCATAATTTTAGCTACATTATTCACCGATTTTTTTTCAAGTTTCGCATTTAAATATTGTAATGGCCTGTGAAAAAAAAGTTGCCTATGCAGGTCCCTGTCGTCGTATAGACCCTAACATAGCGGCTACATTCGGTATTTTTAGAATTGTAAAAGGATTTTTTTTTTGAAAATTGCCAAATGTGTTCCAAATGGTGGAGGGTATTTAAAGTTCGGCCCGGCCGAATTTACAGCTTTTTTAGTTTAGTTTTATTTGACGAAAATTCACACTTATGAAAAATGTTTAAGATCGACCCTCGTTATAAGAAAAGCTTCATATAGAAACCTTGGCCAATTTAGGGGTTTAAAGTTCTTGGCCACATTTTTCAACACTTTTCGGGTATTTATTGTTATAATGTGATATATTTTGATTTCAATGAGCAGAGAACGTAGCCAAGATTTTGGAACAGTCCCTTGAAACGGTGGTCTCCACCGTTTTGGAGATCCTAACCACATTTGTCAACCGAATAAATTGCAATCTATTATTTTCACAGATTTTAAGCCATGATCCCAAATTTTTGAGTATTACAGATCACTGAATTAACATTGGCGAGGGGTTTTAAAGGTTTGTCCGTCTTTTCCTTTTTTATAAAATCGAATTCTATCAATTACTAGAAATATAAATAGCAACTTTAAAAATTTATTCATGTTATACCGTCATTTATCTAGAAGGTAATGGTTAGGGGACGATATCTATACTTACCTTGACGATCGATGGCCATTGTTCATACTGTGAGTGCGATTGGCTTGCGGGCTATTATTGGCAATGGGTATTTGATTGGCTTTCTCCAAATAACCTTGATATTTTTTCAAATCCATTTTTAGTTTCTCCAATTTATGTTCGGATTCATTGAGTTGGCCCTCAACGGTCATGGGATTGCCCAGCGATGAATTGGCCTCATAGACGACTTTCATTTTCATCAGACCATCGCGGGCCGCCGTCTCTTGTTGGATCTTCTGTTGCAGTTCGGCAATTTTGGCTTGGAGTTTTTTGCGTCGTTGATTGGGTGGCAGATCACTGAAATCTTCCTTTTGTCCGTCCGCAGTTAGGGAGTTCTAAATGAAATGTGATTGAAGAAAATTGGAGATTAGTAATGACAGTAATAAAAAATAAGGATAATATGATTTAAAGAGAACATATTTCTTGGTGCATTAGAACAACAAGAATCAGAATTAAAACTGCAAGGCAAAAAAAGTTAAGGTCGGGAGGTCAATGAAGGTATTTAATCGCCACTTTTAGTAATTTGATAATTGCCATTCATTTTTGACCTCCCATCCTAGGTGGTTACTTGAACAAACAGAAAATCGTCATGCATTGTCATACAATATTGAAAAAGAAAACAAAAAAATTGGGATCTGAACTGAAAAAACACAATGATTTGAAATGTTCTTTCAATAATTTGCAAATGATAAACCAATAAACGAACATGGTGGTTAAGGTGAAAATTCGAAAACTGTGATCTATCTCTAAAACTAGAACTCTTGAGAGATGTGACTATGGATATAGCGTGTTAAAAATGGTGTTTTACAGTGTGAATAGTTGAGATACAACAACAAAAAAAACGATAAACAAAAAATTGGGTTTAGTTTAAGAGCAACAGGCAAACATGGGTATAAAGGAGACAAGTTTTATTAAAAAAAAATTATTTAAATTTAATTTAAATTAACGTTAAGACTTATTATTGGAATTTGATGAATTCCCAAACAAATCCTTATAACCACGTTTGTCTGCATAAATATATTACTGTTGGATATACTCCTTATCATTCGGTGTATTTTTTGGTTGTTAAAAGATATTTTTCTTAATTAGTTGTTGTTAGTCGTGTCATACCTTCATCGTGATACAGGCTTCAATAATCTTCTGTTGCTGTTACAGAGAGAATTTTTGAATATGTATCACATTTTTTTTATTTTGATTTTTTTAATTGCAGGTTATAAAATCAAAGCATAAGCAATTTTGGAATTTTGAGTTTTTTTTTAAGATTGAACATAATTCAAATTTAGTTTGTTAAACAAATCAATTTGTTTGTGTATTGGTTGGTGATGATTGTGTTTTGAAGATGACGTTTAATAGCGTTGATGTTCATGACGGTGATGATGATTTTCGATGAGAGATAGATTTTGGTGTGTATGTTTGTGTAAATGACAAAAAGGGGTGAAAAAAAGCGTTTAAATAACAATTTTTAAGCCAATGAGGGTAGAAAAGCATAACAAACGTTTGTGATTTTGAAAAATAAAAGAAAATAATTTTTAGCAAAAGGAAATTTACATGAAATAATTAAAAAAATAAATTGGACAAATAAATAAAATTTAAGCCAAAAAAGATTAAGGTCAAATCAAAGTAAATCCGAAACAAAAAGTGAGATCAGAATAATGAAAGGCACTAAAACAAATTTTTAAAATATTTGCCTATAGAACCATTTAAAGAATTTAAAAAATCCAGATTGAATTTCTTGTAGCCTTTCAAAAATTAAAAAATTCACAATTGAAGTTTAAAAAACACAAAGAAGATTAATAGAAGGTATATACCGAAGGTTTTTAGAAGACATATGGAAGGTATTCTAACTACAGAATATATAATCAGTCTTCTTTCCTTAGAAGGCTTATAGAAGGAATTATGCCTTTAAAAGACCGACTGAAGAAGGTCGCCTAAAGCTGAGGTGTTATGTCACCACGAGCCCATCAGTGTTACAGGTTTGCAGTTAGGGTACCTACTGAATTTTTACGAAGCTTCTTGACATGGTACGGATGCTATAACATGTTGATTAATTCCTTGGAGACCCGTTGAAAGAAGAGGATGGAGTAGGTATTGACACTACGGTAATTCATGTCTCATCCACCAGTCAAGGGTCGATGAAGTTTGGTCTGTTGAGCTGAAAAGCTCTGGTGGTGCCACCTCTACATTAATGGCCTGTGCCGATAAGCCCTTACTCTTTAGGCAAGATACGCTTGATACAGAAGGAGAACAGAGCGGTTCCGGCACTGAAAAAATTGAGATATCGTAGAATTCTCCGGTGGCCAACTGTACCAAAACCAAATAGAAGTAAAATACAGGCGTATGCTGCTGTCGTTATGTTGGTGGGGATCCGATTAAGCTCACTGAACTCCCTATCAGAATGAACTTGAACTTTGTTGGGAAGTTCGAGAGGAACTTTACCGACCCAACTTCAGGGAAACTTCTGTTAAGCATGATCCCAACTTACAGAGCCGCAAAGAAACCTGTCGAGGCCTCAAAAAAAAAAAAAAAAAAAAAGGAGACGACTGTGGAAAGCTCTTGCTTGCCTGAAAAGGTGACTTCGAAGGAGACAGAGCCTAAGCAGTATATTAAAAAGGATGCTATGGCATCAGATCCGGAGATACCACAATCCAATTCGGAGGAAGGCAAGGTTACGACGAAATCTTCAGCAAAGCAAAAGACTATGTCGAATCCTACCTCTAAATTTTCCAAACAGGTTCTGCCGAGACATGCTGTGACTTTACCATCTCCACCTACTGCAACGGTGACGAAGGTGAATTCCACAATTTGAGCACTGTTCGAGCAAAAAACTTCAACAAGAAAAGTCTTCTAAAACAAGTAAACAAGCTATAAGTTCGGTCGAGCCGAACTTTGAATACCCCCCACCATTTAGTGGAATCCATTACGAACTTCAAATATCAAATTTGAAACAATTTCGGTTAATAATGTCGCTAAAATCAACAAAATACCGAATATAGGGAGGTACCATTATATGGCGGCTATACCAAAGGGTGGGCCTGCATAGACAATTTGCTGTCGTAGGCTGTAGTATCCATTACGAACTTCAAATACCAACATTTGAAACAATTCCGTTGAATAATGTCGCTAAAATCATCACAATACCGAATATCGAGAGGTGCCGTTATATGGGGGCTATACGAAGACGTAAACCTGCACAGACAATTTTCTGCCATAGGCTGTAGTACCCACTACGAACTTCAAATACCAAATTTGAATCATTTCCGATGAATAATGTCGCTTAAATCATCAAAACACCGAATATCGGGAGGTACCATTATATGGTGGCTATACGAAGACGTTGGCCTGTACAGACAATTTTCTGTCTTAGGCTGTAGTTACCACTACGACCTTCAAATACCGAATTTGAAAGAATTCCGGTGAATAGTGTCACTAAAATTATCAAAATATCGAAAATAGGGAGGTACCATTATATGGTGCCTATACCAAAACGTGGACCTACATCACCTATTTTTAATACCAAAAGTCCTGTAGACATAATATACATTTGAGTAAAATTTTATAAACCTACTTAATTTCATTCGGAAGCTAGAGTGGTTTCCACAGACGGACGGGCATCGCTAAATCGACATAGAATTTTATGCTAATCAAGAATGGGGTCTAAATGTATTTGGGGTCTAAAAAGGAATATTTCGAGGTGTTACAAACGGAATGACAAACTTAACATACCCCCATACTATGGTTGAGGACATAATGACGAAGCTAATATGCCCTCCACAGTTTGATGGAGGGTATAAAATTGCTATTGAAAAGTTATTTAAACCTTCAAAAAATGACAATTCTCAAATTCTAGATTGAAGACCTGTTAAGCCTTTAGGAACTCACGATTTATACCATGTAATATCTTCAACAATTTTATTTTAAAACCACGATTAGTTAGACCCAGAAATAAAAAATAGAGCCTCGAAATATGCCAAGTAAGTTAAGTTACTTAGAAAAGGGCAGCTATAGGATTTAAAGTTCACAAAAATATTACAACTCTAGCAAGCCAAGAGAGTCAAGTACAATTATGGAATAAAACACAAAAAAAAAAGGATTATATAGGACTCCTAAAAATCAAAAATATATATGCTTTAAATCAGTAGTAGATTTGTATGAATAGATATATATGAATATGAATGAATGATATATGTTGTTGGATATATATGATTATGTTTTTTACGATATTATATATGATCAAATAATAAATATTAAATATAAAAGTTAAAACAAAAAAAAACATACAATTAAAAATTAATTATTTCATCATGGACTGGATAAGAGGGACAACACATAATTGGACATGGGATGAAATAACACACAATAGGAATCAACACAGAAATATTGAAAACAAAACTGAAACATTTAATTGACAAATGGAAAATGGCAGCCAATTACTTGTTATTCGAATTCATGATAAAGGCTCAAAAACCAAAAATTAAATCAAAAATATGGATATGGGTAGTTGGACTCGGATGTGAGACAAGTAAGACGAATAAAAACATAGATATTTTCGTATGAAATTTTACACATTCTTGATAGGTGTTGCAGTTTGTACTTACATTAAATGTAAAGTAAACACAATAAATTCACAATGGATTTACAATATGAAACGTCGTCCACATTGGCGATTTGATGTAAGAATGCGTAAATGACGACGACGACAGGAAATTGTTGCATTTTTTTATTTATTTGTTTATTTATTTTTTTTTTTTTGGTATGAGAAGAAAGAAATGCATTTGAGAAGGAATGCAACGATTGATAAATTGACAAATAAAAACAACGATAAAATAAAAAAAAACAAAAGCACAACACAAAAAATTACATATGATATGAAACGAAGACCGAAAAAGAAAGAAATAAATAAAAAAGAAAATAAAGACTTTATAAATATTTGAATTTAACTAAATTATACATTTAACAAAATAACAATATTTTTTCAAAATTTTCACAAACAGTTTGTTTTGAAAATCAAATTAAAAATAACATTGAACTAACTACTATGTATTGCAATTATTTATGTATGGTTCCATTGAATTGTATAAATAGTACTTTACATAAATTAACTAAGGCCTCGATGATCTTTTTTTTAAATATGTAAAAATATATTTAAAAGATTACAACTGAAAATTTAAAAAAAAAAACGGCAATGGTCTTAATAGGAATCTACAATTTTTCAATTTCAAGCTATCCGTTCTTGATAGATGGTATAATTATGGACCACAGAGCTGGGGAAATAGAACACGAAGTAGCTAAAAAGAACTCCATAACAGAACGAAACGGACGGGAAGCTTTGGAGGCAAGGAGACAAGGATCCGACTCTTGACCTTGTTGACGAGAACGTTAAAAGACAGCAACAAACTATCCACCAGATCACTGCGACTGAATCAGGATAGTATCCCTGCAGAACTCTGGAAAAGCCCCCTGCCTGACAAGGAAGAGGACATGGATACCACGGTAGTTCAGGTCTCGACCTCAGTCCCAAAAAAATCGACCAGAATAGTCCTAGCGGCCCAAATTCGTTGGTAAATACCGACAAAGCCCAAACTCTTAAGGGAGGAGGCAATCGAGGCAGAAGTAGTACAGAGCGGCGTTTCCATCCATTAAATGGAAGTGTAACTGAGCTCTCCCGACACCAAGAACGCCAAATTCCAGGAGAAAAGGCAAATTTCAGTCGAAATGTCGATGGGGATCCGTCAAAGCTTACTGATGAGGAGTTGCATCAGGATGAACCTGAAGTTTACGAGGAAGTTCAAGGAGATATATCCTAATGCAACACCATAGGAACTCCCGATAAGAATGGTGACATCAGTTGATGCCTCAAAAAACCGAAGACTGCGGGTAGCCTTCAGAAAGAGTCTCTGAGGTGCCAAAGCAAAAGAAGGCAAGGCTGAGGTTAAGTTCACAGACTTTAAAAAGGCATCAGAGAAGAAAAGACAATCGAAATTTGCTTAACCTTCGAAACTGGCCCGGCTGTTAATTCATCAAAACAACCCGCTACAATGGCAAATGTGGTGTAACAACATGTGGACAGAGCAAAGATGGGTACAACGAAGGCTACAGCGAACGGATATAAGCGGACATCTTGTCTACTAAGTTGCCATTCTCGCTGAAGGAAGCAGCATCGAAGGCGAACAAGTCCCCCTCTCAGCCACTGGCAGATATATGGTAAATTCATGGACCCAGAGTTGGGAAATAGAATACTATGTACCTTCGTCCAACTATGACGGATGACGCATTAAAATATTGCATCAAGAAATCCGTCAGATCGTTGCGAATATGGGACTGTTAACGCTAAGTCAGGACAGTATACGACAATAGGCTACTCGGAAAGTCCCCCGTCTGACGAGGAAGCGGACCAGGGTAATCCAGACCTCGACCTCTAGTCAGGCTTTGACTGCCAAGAAAATCTGCTTAGTTGCAAATCTCGCTGAAGGAAACAGCACCGAAGGCGATCAGTTCCCTTCTCAACCAATTGCTGTGAAGAGGATGCGGTCAACTGGGGAGCAGCAACCAGGGCGAAGAAAGTGGTGACGACTCAGGCGATGCAGCAGTCCCTTCAATATGCTTCGGTAGCGGCAAAGACGGATAGTGGGAAACACACAAATTTGCAAGGTAAAAGCCGAATGGCACCGGATGACTTTAGAGTAGCGAATAATCTGACCTCAAATGGGTACAAGGCTGCTGATTGAAGGGAGATCCGATATATCTACCTGTTGGGTGATGTCGAACAGTGGAATGTGCGGATTAGCTGAACTGCAATCTATGGGGAAGCCAGGGTCAGCCAGTGGCTGTAAAGAGGATTGCATCAACTGGGGAGCATCAACCCAGGGCGAAGAAAGTAGTGACGACTCAGACGGTACAACAGTCCGTTCCATATGCTTCGGTAGCGGCAAAGAAGGATAGTGGGAAGCACACTAATTGGAAGGTGAAAGCCGGATGGCACCGGATGACCTTAGAGTAGCGAATAATCTGACCTCAAATGGGTACAAGGCTGCTGATTGAAGGGAGATCCGATATATCTACCTGTTGGGTGATGTCGAACAGTGGAATTTGCGGATTAGCTGAGCTGCACTCTATGGGTAAGCCAGGGTCAGCCAATGGCGGTAAAGAGGATTGCGTCAACGGACAAGCAGCAACCCAGGGCGAAGGAAATGGTGACGACGCAGACGGTATATCTGTTCGTATACTTCGGTAGCCGCTAAGATGGATAGCACTCTAATAAGAAGGCAAAAACCGGATGGTACCGCATGACCTTAAAGTTGCGGTTTTTGATGAGGCTGACCCCAAATGAAGATCCGACACTTCTTCCTTTCGGATGAGGTAGAACAGCAGAATGTACGGATGAGTTGAGCTGAGCATACTATAGGGGAGCCGGGGTCATTACCACCAAGACAGCAAAGTCGGCTCTGTGCCTGTCTCGGAGGCCCCATGGCTTCAGTGTCAATCGGTGAGGCCAATTAGCCATCCGTCAGCTAATACTAGCAGTTATCTAAGGTTTGCGCTATGAAGACTGACAAAGGATTGCAGTTGAAACTTGTTTGTTGGTCAGAAGTCAGAGACCATTCGTAGTCAGTTCGTTATAACTATGGGACTATTCCTCTAAAAGAGAGCCAAGGCAATTTGGTACAATTTGGATATCAGCCCTCACATCGCAATTCTTCTTTAATTTATTTTTCTTTTTTATTCTTTTGAGAATAGGTACGTTTTAGATCTTCCACGTATCGATTAGAAGGTATATTTGCTAAGTTATCTCTTGTGAATAAGGTTTTCCCTTCAAGACAAAACGAAAACTTTGAGACGGAATAAATTTAATTTACTCCACTAAGACCATGGCTGCGGATTCGAGCAATTTTTGATCAAACTACGAAAACAATTTTTCCTTTTATTTTTTCTTTTTTATCATTGAGAATATGTACCTTTTAGAACTTCCACTTCGATCATAAGTGGTAGACCTATCTAAAGTAGATTCTCCCTTCAAGACACAAATATTTTTTTTAGCATCAACAGATTATATGGCTATTTAGATTTTGGTTAGAACTATTAAGAAACAAACATTTGCATCAAAAGTTTGAGTACTTCCTAATATAATTTCGTGTCATTGGAACATTTACTCATTAAAAAAAAAACAATTCAATGGATCTCTAACATAAACAATGCCGCACAAACAAAACATGAAGAATTCATAAGCAACATAACAATGACGACGACAAAACAAACTTTAACTTACCTTATTACTGCCAAAGATGTTGAATATCCCCACACGTTTCTTAATTTTATTAGCACTTATGGTACCCTTAACGGTTAAATGACTGGACTGTACATGATTATAGTGGGACTCTTGGGATGTATCAAGAGTGTCCATTTTGGAAAGATCCTCAAAAGGTATATCGCCTGGTGGTGTGAAACCAGATTGATATCTAAAAATTCGAGAAAAAAAACATTTAATTAAGCCCAAAAGTAAAGAATTCAATTTACTTACCTTTCGATAACTTTATACGAATCCTCCTTCTCATTAATTGATTCGCCGGCCTTGACCATGCCCTCAAGACACCGGGCAATGATGGGTGCTACAGAGGACTCTACATCGGCGGCACTAATAATGAATTCTCTGATGCCACGGGTTCTCTTTTCATCCAATTCTTGCAGTCGATTAAATACCTAAGACAATAAATTGGATTAAATGTAATTTATGGTGAATGAAATTCCTCCTACCTCCGGCAATAGTTCATGATAATGCTGTTGCTGCAGATTATTTGATTTCTGTAATTGATTGGCATACTCGTTCTTGGCATCGTCTGACTGTTGTATCTTTGCCGTCATAATATTCTTGTAACGTTCCACCTCGGCTCGACTCAGATTCAAGTCCATATCAGCCTTTTTGTAATTTTCAACGGCTTTTTCCGAATCACGATAAGCTTTCTCATAGTTACGTTTGGCCCGTTCCAATGCAGCCAGTTGTGTGGTGAGGTTTTGATGTAAAATGGTACCGTTGGAAAGACATTTCTAGAAAAAAAAATTGTTGTTAATTAATGACAGTGAAATAAAAAACGGGGGTGTATTTTTTGAGTAAGACTTACTTTTCGTTCTTCCCTTAGGGTTTTGGAGAGCAATGAAATGCCTTGTATGATTTGTAATTGCAGGGATTCAGCCACAACTTCCCGTTGTCCAGCCAAGTCACTGATTTCATTGAGAACTTTGCGGAAAGCTTGCCATGATGTGAATCTAAAGAGGGGAGATAAATTTGATTTGAGTCAAGTAAATGTCGATGTGTGGATAAATTATAGTGTATGTGTAAGTGAGTGTGTTGGTGTGCATAGATTAAATTCCAATGGGTATTTTTTATAACATATGAATAAAATGAAAGAAGGCTCGACCAGGCCCAACTTTTGTAAATCCATGTTAACAAGTGGAATTACAAATCTTGAAGAAGTACATCATTCTTAGTATGCCTTTAAAAAATTATCGTTTTCAGTGAGCCTTTATTTTTTTTTGGGGGAAAATATCGAAATGTGGACCTATATCAAAGAATGCGACCAATGATGTTAAAGTTTAAAATTGTTGATACCGCAGATCTTTAAGCCATTGCAGATGGAGATGAAGGACTTCTCCAAAAAATGGACTAGATGTGGTGCACACCTTCATCTAATCCATTTATTTTTCTTCTCTAACTATTTCTCGGGATGGGCCGTTTGACCGTAGGTCTCCAAGTAAATTAGCCATCATTGTTAGTTATAGTAAAGTTCAAGAGCTTTACTTGCCTGGCATATGATTTCTCACAAGTCGGTGCCACATGCCACACAGCTCGCGTAACTATGGACTTATTCGGGACCGGTCAATTAACCGCTTAGATCGTGCGATTTGACGCCTTGGGATTATTTTTGTGGGGCTATGCTGAAGCTCATATCTATACAAATGAGCCCGCTTCAATGGAAGAATAAGAAGACAACATTGAAGCATTTATTCATGCGATTCTGTTCGAAATGTTGGGAAGAGTAAGCCAAAATTAGACTATGCGAATAGACCATTTGAGGAGCAGTCGCAGTCAAATAAAGATTTCATGAATTTTTCTGAACTTCATGCTTTTTATAATCGATTTTGCACTTTTTAGCCATATTTTTAAAAAAGGACCAAAAAGACCTTTTTTATGATTCGCTTTAGGTTTTAAATAACACAATAAATTTTCGTGTTTTCATCTGCCAAATTTCTAAAGACACTAGATACTTAAAATACATGGATTCTAAGGAATCTTAATCCGAAAATTTCCAAAAGTGTGTGGAAGAAGAAGAAATCTTGTCCTTTCTATTTTGGTTACTTTGCGCTGTAAATTTACTAAACGCTGATATACGTGTTTCCTTTTTTTAGCTTCACTTTCATTATCTGCGGGATTTTGCCTGTAACTACTTTGTGTTGCACAGTGTTATTAAAGGACTATCATGGTGATATTCTCAACTTTTAAAAAATATCCAATTCTTCATGGATTATTTAAGAGTATTTTTTTTCCAAGGACGATGAAGACTATATTAGCATTATTTTAATATTTTCAAGGTCTATGGGGACAATATTTGTGGACCTTCAACAATATTTTTCTAGACCTATCTGGGTAATCTTCGTGGTATTTTTAGAAATATATTTTCAAAAACTCTCTGAAAAATATTCGTGGACTCTTAAGAACCTTTTTTAAGGTCTATCAGGAATTTTTTTACTATTTTTTTCAAGTTGTATATGGCAATATTTGCAAAGTTATTTTGGGTATTTTCTAGAGATATACAAGAGAAACTTTTATGGATTTTTTAACAATATTTTTTTAATTTTCTAGAGGATTTTTTTTTTTTTTTTGAATTTTAATAATATTTTTTGGGGCTTTTATGTATATTTTTTAAGAATATTTTTCAAGTTCTTCAACAGTAAATGCGTGATTTTCTTTTCAGAATACTTTTATTTTTTCATTTTTATTCAATATCTCTTAAGCTTATATTGTCTGATACTACTGCACATCACCCAGGATCAATGGTTCAACGTGGTTCATGGATGGCCTCAAACCCCCATCAATAATGTGGCATCAAAATACTCACTATTTCAACAAGTAAATCCACCGATTGTGGTTTTAGTTCTATATTAAAAATAACACAGCACACCAACACCGTCACACACATACATTCTCTCTCTTGCAGATTATATTGTTTATTATTTGTAAATGTATATATTTCAAATCAAACACATGTCTATATATTTTGTATTAATTATATCGTACTTACTCATTATCTTCTTCTTCTTTTTTCTTGGGCTGATAATTTTTCACTAAACGCCTGTAATAGAAATAAAACAACAACAAAGAAAGAGAAATTAATACAAAGTGGAAAAAAAAAATTGTTTATAACAAAAACTCGCAGCATTTCATGAACGTTTGATAAATTAATTAATAATTTGGGTCATATACAGAAAAAAGAGGCTACAACAACAACAAAAAACTTTGCAACATCAAGAAATTTCTTTTCAAAAATCGGCGCCAAGTAAACAACTCCACGGCCGTTTACACGCAACCGTTTAATGCTTTTAGTTTAAGCGTTGAGACTAGAAATCGAAGAAAATTTATGCAAATGTGACTAGCTTCCAAAACATGAATTCGATTTTCCATAACGTAATTGTCGGCTGAAATGCAACGAAATGCCATCGAGAATTAAAGAGACCGTTGGAAAATAACATGCAATGGAGGGAGTAGTTTTGGAAAAACAAATGAAAACATTTCATCAAAATATCCAAGTGGAAAAGCTGAAATCAATGATAGGTGTTTGGTGTTCCAATCAAAGGTTTTGATATCGCAATTTTTTGAAAACATTTTTCAAGGACCAACAGATCAATAATCGTGGATTTTTAAGAATATTTTCTTTAAGGACCAAAAGATCGATAAACACGGGTTTTTAACGAATTTTTTCAAGATTTTTTAAGGTCCTACAGACCAATAATCCTGTGTTATGTTTATGTTGTCAGTGACCGGAAATGTTTAACAGTATTTTCTCAAGTACCAGTGTACCAAAAATCGGAGATTTTTAACAATTTTTTCACAAGGAACAATAGACTAATAATTTTTTAAAAGATATTTTTTCAAGGACTAAGATGCCAATAATCGTGGTTTTTAAAGTATATTTTTCATCGGGATTTTTTATGAACGTTGTATCAAGGACCAACACACCAATAATAGTGTATTTTTAGAAAGGATCAATACGATCGCGGAATAGATTTTTATAAATCAACAGACCGATAACTGTGCATTATCAAAGGACAAAAAGAAAAATAATCGTGATTTTTTTAGAATATTTTTTTCAAGAAGCAACAGACCAATAATCGTGGATTTTTGAAGAATATTTTTTAAGGACCTACAGACGAATAATTGTGGATTTTTAAGATATTTTTTTTTTTCAAGGACTAAAGACCAACAATCGTGGACTTTTGAAGAATATTTTTTAAGGACCTACAGATGAATAATTGTGGATTTTTAAGATTTTTTTTTTCGAGGACTAAAGACCAACAATTGTGGATTTTTGAAGAATATTTTTTCGAAGACCTACAGACGAAAAATAGTGAATTTTTGAAGAATATTTTTTTCGAAGAATATTTTTTTAAGGACCAACTGTCCAATAATCGTGGATTTTTTAAGAATATTTTTTCGAAGACCTACAGACGAAAAATAGTGGATTTTTGAAGAATATTTTTTCGAAGAATATTTTTTTAAGGACCAACTGACCAATAATCTCGGATTTTTTAAGAATATTTTTTCGATGACTTAGCGACGAATCATGTATTTTTTAAGAATATTTTTTCGAAGACCTACAGACGAATAATCGTGGATTTTATAAGAATATTTTTTCAAAGACGAACAGAAAAATTATTGAGGATTTTTTAAAAGTATTTCTTCAAGGACAAACAGACCAATAATCTTGGATTTTTGAAGAATATTTTTTTCAAGGACGAACAGAAAAATTATTGTGGATTTTTTAAAAGTATTTCTTCAAGGACAAACAGACCAATAATCTCGGATTTTTAAGAATATTTTTCTCAAGGATCAAATGGCTTATAATTGTTATTATAATTGTTTTCCAAGGATTGTTAACAATGTTTTCTCAAGGACCACCAGACAATATTAATCGTGAATTTTTCAAGGACCAAAAGGCTTATAATCGTGGATTTTTTCAGAATATTTTTTTCAGGGATTTTTAAGAAAGTTTTTTCAAGGACCAACAGATAAATGATTTTGGATTTTATAAAAATATTTTTTCAAGGATCAACAACTTTTCAAAAATATTTTTTCAAGGACCAACAGAAGAATAATCGTGGTTTCTTGAAGAATATTTTTTTAAGGACCTACAATCTTGGATTTTTAAAAATATTTTTTCAAGGACATCTTGTCAAAGAATATTTTTCAAGAACCAACAGACCAATAATCGTGGATTTTAAAGGGTATTTTTTCAAGGAATACCAGACCTATAGTTGTGATTTTTTTAAGAATGATTTTTCATGGAACAACACACCATTGATCATAGGTTTGTTAGGAATATTCTTTCAGAGATTTTTATCAAAAATTTTATTTCAATGACCAACAGACCAATGATTTTGGATTTTTTAAGAATGTGTTTCCAAGGACCAAGAGACCAATAATGACGGATTTTTGAAGAATATTTTTCAAGAACTAACCGGATTTTTTAAGAATAATTTTTCAAGGACCATCAGACAAGCAATCGTTTATTTTTCGTTATTTGAGTTTCGTTAATTTTGAGTTTTTTTTCCTTTTTTCAACCAACGGACCAAAATCTTGTATTTTTTCAAATATTTTTTTAAGGATCAACGGACCAGATATCTTGGATTTTAAAAAAAAAAAAAATTTAAAGGACCAGCACACCATGATTCGGTGATTTTTAGGAATATGTTCTTAAGGATCAAAAGACCAACAATCTAGGATTTTTTACGAATATTTTGTAGATTTTTTTAGAATGTTTTTTTAATAAGGACAAACAGGATTTTTTTAATAATATTTTTTTAAGGACTAATAGTCTTGTATTTTTTTCTCAAGGACCAATAGACCGCAGATTTGTTAATAATCTTTTTTCAAGGACCAACAGACCAATAGTATTGAATTTTTTTAAAATAATTTTCCAAGGACCAATAGACAAATAATCGTTAACTTTTTAAGACTAGTTTTTCAGAGACACTTTTGGATTTTTTTTTTC